TTGTCGTTGTTTTTAAAGGGCCCTGAGAAAGGATTTTAAATATTTTCAGAGAAACTAGATTCAGAAAAAGAAAAGAACCCAAGATAAATTGAACAAAACTGGAGGTAATTAGTCTGTTAGAAACAATTAACATGGATATACTCCTCCTCCCCCTCTAGGCTCCATTCTTCTTCCAGATAAGTACTCACCACCACTAGACATCTTATGTTTAGTGCCTGTAGGAACATTTTGAGTAGGTAGGGACATTGACTGGACATCCTGGAGAACTGTAGGCTGAGACCAGGCAATGAGCCTGGAAAAAATCTGTGCTGAATGATCCGGCTAGAATTAGTGATCAGCTCTTTCCTTTTCTTAATCCTCCTCGTGCAATTTCTCAACATCAATCTGATGTCTCTGCAAAGGGGATGAAAGGGTTGAGTGTAGTGGAAGAATAAATTTGTTGTTGTTGTTCAGTCATTTTCAGGCATGTCTGACTCTCCATGACCCCATTTGGGATTTTCTTGGCAAATATACTGGAGTGGGTTTGCCATTTCCTTCTCCAGCTCATTTTCCAGATGAGGAAACTGAGGCAAACAGGGTGAAGTGACTTGCACAGGGTCAAACAGCTATAGTGTCTTAGGCTGGATTTGAACTCAGGTCTTTTAACCCAAGGTCCAGCACTCTATCCACTTCACCATCTAGCTGTCTGATGAATTTGCAGAGTCACATATATTATGTGAACATAGCCAACGAGGGAATTTGTTTTGCTTGACAGCATATTTGTTATAAGGACTATGCATGTAAACACACATATATGTATATACATATATACCATATATATGTAGGTAGGTATTTATTTATACATACATAATGTATGTATGTATACATACATAATATATAATGCCAAAGTTGGTGATTTAAAAAATCCTTTATGTAAAATCTACCTTCCTACAAAAACTTCACTTGGAAAATATCATTTGGAGATTTCTGTTTAAATTATTGTGTAGCCCTCGGTGCCTCTGACATTCTCCATGTTTTCTCAGTCTCCAACCATGACCCAAGAAGTACAGCTAAAAATGTAATATCCTGGATTTCTGTTCATTATTGTCCTGGTAACATTAGACTGTGAGCCCTTTGAAAGTACAGACTGTTGTTTTGCCTTTCTTTGTATCCCTGGTGCTTAACTCAGGGCCTGGTGCATAGTAGGAGCTTAATAAAAAGCTAGTTGGCTAATTGACATACCAAAACTCCCTAGTCCCATGACCTAAGGATTTGAAATACGTATGTGTGTATGTAAACACGAGGTGTGGCTAGTCTCATTCTGTGCCCTGAACGTGTAATGTCTCAATCAGAAGATGGTTAGCATGTGTTTCATCATCAGTTCTCTCGACATCATGAATGGTTATTACATGATCATTGTTCTTACAGTTTTCAAAGTTGTTTGTAGCTACAGTGTTGCTGTTATTGTATAGGTAGTTCTCACTTTGCTAATTGTTCATTTCTATAGATTTTTTGGATGAGAAGAAACTACTAGCCCTTTCATGTCTTTGGGCCAACAACTATCTCACTTAAAGGAAAATGGGATGACTTTATAGGCTAGACAAATCTGGAAAAGACCGACGAAGAGGATGCTCCATCAGAGCTTGGAAGTGGAAGTTGAAGGTTAGAGCCCCTAATACTCACCGTAAATAACAGTGAGCAGCTACTGGCAGGCATTCCTTCTGGGTGAAATCTTCACAGGACTTGAAATGGTTCTCCATCTGTAATATGTGGGGGTCAAGACCTTCATCTTGCCCAGCTCCATGACCAGAGGAAAATGAATCTGGTTGGGAAGGGAGGGGAGGGGAAGGAAGGGGAGAACGACAGATTATAGGATCAGAAAAAAAAGAGAGTACAGCCTCCATCTTGGTTTTCCTTGGCCACCCCACCCCAAGCCTCATCCCAGACCTTGATTGCTCTATCTCATTCTTGCCTTCACTCTACTATGAAACAGAAGGAGCAAGAAAGGAGGAATAGGAATGGTAAAGTGAAGCGGTCCCACCCCACCAAACTCTCCACAGATACTTTCAGAAGGACAGTGGTCTGGGTAAGAGGGTAAAAAAGAACTTACCACAAGCTTCTAAGATTCAAGAAGTGGCCAAGATCCTGAGTTTTATTTTCTTAGAATTCCTATTAGAATAGGAAACGGGTCACCAGAGGGAAATGGAGTCATGTTTTGTAGTAAAATGAGTTCAAAGGAGAGATCCCATACTGTTTTCAATTTTTGAGGACAGCAATAAGTATTAAGTAGGAAATGGAAACTTGCCCAATCACCTGGAAATGGGGCAGGGGGAGGGGTGGTAGGATGGATGTGGGGAGAAGTACTTGATGCTTTTTAAAGGCAGAGCCTGGGCAAAGAGAACACAGGGCATCCATAAGTGATTTTAGGTGATCCTCCTACTTTTCACCCCTACTTGCACTCCTCCCTCTCCCAATCTGGAACAATTTAAATTTCTTTCTGGTAAATAAAGACAGAAATCCACAGACACTCACCCACAAGGAGAATGAAGAGAAGCCCAGTCTCCTCCTCTTCTCTTCCCCTCCCCAGTGGTACTACAGAGAAGTCAGTGGTCTTAGGAAGGAGTTTGCTGTAGGACAGGAGCTTGAGTCCGAGCAGGGGGTTCCAGGGCTCAGAGATTTTTTTTTCCTTTTTCCCCAAAGTAGAACAACCCAGAGGCAGGTTATCTACATCTTTCCCCAGAGAAACCTGGTTTGTCTTGCCTGCTCATTACAGTTCGTCTTTAATGATAAGGGTCATTTGTACTATATGCACTGGCCCTTCTCTACCATATTATCACTAGGATCTCCATTATCCACATCATCACTGTTGTCCTTAGCAACAGGTCAGACATTCCACAAGTACCTAGCATAATAGCTACAATACCTGTAAAAACTGAGACAAATAAAAGTCAAGCAAGTTGTTCATTTGGGGGATTTAAAGATGTTTTCAGAGATATTTTGCAAAACAGGGGTGGAGGGTAGGGGGGAAATTCAGATTCCTGACCCAGGTCTTCTAATAAATAACAGGGTGACTGCAGATAAGATGTTCTCTGAATCTGTTTTCCCATGCTTAAAATGCCAAAGTCTAACTAGATGATTTCAAAAATCCTTTGTGTCAGATCTACCCTCCTAGGGAAACTTCATTTGGAAAGTATAACTTGTAAATTTCTATTATTATATAGCTCTTAGTGCTTTTGATATTCTCCATGTCTTCTCAAGGATCTCCAATCATAATTTGAGTACCATAGCTAAAAATGCAGTATCCTGGATTTCTGTGCATCATTATCATGGTCACATTAGACTGTGAGGGATTTGAAAATAAAGAGTATTGTTTTGCCTTTCTTTGTATCCCCAGTGCTTAACACAGGGCCTGGCATATAGTAGGTGCTCAATAAATGCTAGTTGGCTAACTGACCTACCAAGACTTCGCAGTCCCTTGACCTAAGAACTTGGAAGAGATTATGCATATCCTAGAACTTACCCCTAAGCTCCCCTCTACACCCTGAGAACATAACTCCCACATTAGACTTGACTTCTTAGGATACAGGAGGTAAAAGACATTTTTATGAAGCTTAGTGCCTTTGGGAAGATGGGCTCCTTTGAGGCAGAGGAAGGCTAGCTGGTAAACCCTGAAGGCTTTTTTATTTTTAAGGCAATATGGGTTAAGTGACTTGCCCAGGGTCAAGCAGCTAGTCTGAGGTCAGGTTTGAACTCAGGTGCTCCTGACTCCAGGGCCAGTGCTCTATCCACTGTAGCACCTAGCTACCCCCCAGGCAAACCTTTTTAAAAAGCAGGATAACTTTCTATGGGAACCAGCAAGGACTTAACCAGACCTCTCCAAGTTTCCTGCTTTGTCAAGCTCTTAAGCTTCTCAGTTACTACCAGAACAAAGCCCTGCCTCCTTGAGAAACAAAGCCTCCTTAAGGAATGACAGGGTCGCCTGGCAAGTGCTAAGAGCACCCTCTTACAAGACACAGCTTCACAAGGGACCCTCAGTTGATGATGCAGTCAGGGAGCAAATCTCTATTCCTGGACACTGCCTCCTCTCTTCTTCCGGCTTAAGACTACTATAGCTTTCCCCCATACACACACATCCCTATGTGAACTCATATAAACTTTTCTGTCCACTAAAATTCAGTGATTTTTTTTCCGGATGCACTGTGGCCTGGCCACACCTCGTCTGTTAGACATAACTCACCTTCGGGGTCTCAATTCAACAAGTTTATTAAAAACCTAGTATGGGGCAGCCAGGTGGTGTAGTGGATAGAGTGCCAGGTCTGAAGTCAGGAAGATCTTCCTGAGTTCAAATCTAGCCTCAGGCACTTACTCGCTGTGTGACCCTGGCCAAGTTACTTAACCTTGTTTGCCTCAGTTTCCTCATCTGTAAAATGAGCTGGAGAAGGAAATGGCAAACCCACTCCAGGGTCTTTTCCAAGAAAACTCAAAAAAAGGGTCACAAAGATGTGATTGAAAAATGACTAAACAACAATGTGCCAGGTCTGATTTAGCCTCCTTTGGAAACAGTGACCTTGGAGACCTAAATACAAAATCATTTCCTGCCCACAGGGTCAGACACTGAAGTCTCCAGTATCAATTTGAATAACTCCTTGGACTCACGGGCCATAGTCTTAGTTTTACCTTCTTCATCTTCCCTCTGCCTTGACTGAGCCTTCTTCAAACTCAGTCTCTTACCTGATTGGATCTGTGTGTTATGTTCCTGCTCCTCCTAGTTCTGACTTCCCTCTCATCAGATGTGTGGCCTAAGACAAAGTCACCTGACCTTTCTGGGTTACTCATACATGAAATGAGAGGGAATTGGATTAAATGGTCTCTAAGCACTCTTCCAGCTCTAAAGCTATGAGCTTGCAATTCAATCTCTGTCTCGATAGCTGTATGTTGTTTGCCAGCATCCTTCTACATTGATTCTCAGATCTTGCCCCTTCTATCCAGGTCCACACAGCCGCCACACACACCTCAGTGTAACACAGAGGGGGGTTATAAATAAAAAACAATATATTTGAGATTTTGGAGGGATCTATCTCTTTCCACATGAGCCTCACTCTTTGATCAAGTCCAGGAGTTTCCAGATGTTTGCAGTATCGAAGAAATGGAGAGTCACAAGAGGGACAGGGACACAGAAGTAGAACCAGAGTCCTCTGCTGGGACCCTGTTCTGTAACCAGAGACAGGGTCCAAAGTCAGGGCTCTAAATCCCATAATGTACATCATAGGGACAGGGTGTGAGTTTCCAGGGGGATCAAAGAGGTCAAAGGAAACTCAGTCTGTAGAGGTAATCTTCTTGATCCAGGAGACATAGCTATGGACCTTGGTGAGGATACACCCATCAGTCCAGGACAAAATCCCCTGTAAGAATCCATCACATATGGCTGGAGAAGCTGAGACTTCCTGTGAGAGAGAAGAGAAAGGAGGTTAAAGATATCCCTGGAGCTAAGTTCACGTCAGCCAATAAATGAGGTCAGTGCCTGGTGCAGAGAAGCCCAGGGGATTTGACTTAGGGTAATTTGTGGGCCCTAAGTCTCTAAGTATAATGGTTACTTTTACGCTAGCCTTTTGGTCATCCCACTGACTGTCCCTGTCTCCCCATCCTTCCTTAACCTACCCCAAGGGGAAATTAGAAAGCAGCTTGACCCAAAGACCTTCTATTCCTCTCCATTTCTGCTTTCTTAAGGACCCCCAATTTGTAATCAAAGGCAGGAGAGGAATAAGTATTATTCTCCGGGACCCATTCTCCTTCATTTCTTATCTCGACCATTAAGAAAGATTTCTATCTGAACAAAGAGAGAAGACATGACAAACAATGACCAAGAAAAAAGGATAAATGGAACCCGGAAGAATTACCAGACAGTTGTAGGATATTTCTGTTATAATTCCCACACAAAGCATGTTCTTTGTGAGTTTTCCTGGATAGCCATAGATGCACTGACTGCTAGGGATCCAATCAGTTCTAAAGATCTGTAGAATATTAGGATCCTGTTCTAAGAGAGAGAGAGAGAGAGAGAGAGAGAGGAGAGAGAGAGAGAGAGAGAGAGAGAGAGAGAGAGAGAGAGAGATTTTCCTTTGTATTTGACTTTCTCTTTCCTGCCTTCTTTTCTGTTATCTTCCTGACACCTATTTAAGAACAAGTAGAAGATATAACATAATGTAAGAATTGTCTCACTGAGTTAGCCTATATAACTTGGCATTTGGCCTGACCAAGGATAGCCTAAGAGTAGTTTGTGGGAGGTCTTGACTATGATCTTCCCCTTCCCCTCTATGGTTCTTCTTCATCAGATTCTACCTCCTGACATGATTCATATCTGTCATATGTACCACTTATAAATGAACTCTTCCCTATAGCCCATTGCAAGGAGCTAGAAAATTACAGAATCTCAGAACTGGGAGGGCCCTCAGAGGCCATGAAGGCCAACTCACAGCTGAACAAGAATCCCTCTCACAAAACACCTAACAAGTGGCCTCCTAGCTTTTCCTTAGAGAATTCATGACTTGCCTAGGTAGCTCATTCTAATTATTAGGAAGTTATTCCTTAAATCAGGCTTAAATTTGCCCATTGATAAGAGAACAAGTCTAATTCCTCTTCAGCTTCATAGTCCTCAAGCTTATAAGATCATATATCAAAAGCCAGAAAGGATCTCTCAGAGGCCTTCCCTTATTTCATCTTTATTTTTTCCTCAGTTGAGTAAACTGAGCCCCAGAGAAGTTAGGTGCTTTATCTGTGGTCACATGGGTAGTGAGCGTCAAAGTTAAGTCCTTTGACTCTCAAATCAGCACCCTTTTCCACTATACCACACTGCCTCCTCCATTGCTTGCTTGAAGAGAAAATTTACCAGTCCAGTAAGTCTTACCTATTCCAGGTTAAATATCTCCATTTCCTTCAATAGATGCCCATAGGGTACAATCTTTATTTATTTATTTTTAAAGAGGCAATCAGAGTTAAGTGACTTGCCCAGGATCACATACCTAGTAAGTGTTTGAGGATGGATTTGAACTTAGGTCCTCCTGACTCCAGGACCGGTGCTCTACCCCCTGAACCTCCTAGATACCCCTGATAGGGCACAATCTGGAAGCCCTTCACTGTTTGCCTTCCTGTGGATGGTCTCCATTCTGTCGATAACCTTCCTAAACTGTGGTTGCCAGAACTGAGTATAATGACCAAAGCAGAGTGCCACTGAACTATTACTTCCCAAGATATTATGTTGTCTCTGAATGCAATGCTTGGATCGAAGTAGCCTTTTTGGTTGCTGTATCACACTGTTGAATCATATTGAGGTTATGATTTACTTAAACTCCCTTAGTTTTTCAGATGAATTTACTAGCCACATCTTCCCCAGCTTGCGCTCACTGAAGTTGACTTTTTGAACCTAAGTGTAAAATTTTACATTTATTTCTATTCAATTTCATATCATTAGATTCAACCCAACAGTCTGGCTTCTCAAGATCTTTTGAGAGCCTGACTCTGTCATCAATGTTACCCTATCCCTCTCCAAATCTGTGAAAGACAGCCTCTGTCCTCATGAGGCTTATATTCTACTGGGATTTCTCAAGGAGATGGGAAAAGAATGGGAAGTCAACGGTTAATGCTGTCATACAAGTCAATGGTAAAAATATTAAACATAATAGGGTTTGTCACTGATCCCTAAGGATAGAGAGTGGTGATGGAAGAAGCATTAGAATAGTTTAGGAATAGCTTTTATACTTGTTTAATTATGCAACTAGTATAACTGATAATGATGTTCAGTCATTTTTTTAGTCATGTCCAACTTGAATTTTCTTGGCGAAGATACTGGATTGATTTGCCATTTCCTTCTCTAGCTCATTTTACAGATGAGGAAACTGAGGCAAACTTGCCAAGGGTCACACAGCTAGTAAGCGTCTAAGGCCAGATCTGAACTCAGGAATATGTTTTTTTCTGACTTCAGGCCCAGTACTCTATCCACTGTCACCCCCATAAATGATAATGAATACCTATAATCCCTGGTACTGAGAAGGCTAAAGCTGGTGGATCACTTGAGTACAGAAGTTCTGAGCTAAAGTAAGATTAGTGTCTAAGGGGGAGTGGGATTGTCTAAACAAGTCAGGAACCAATATAGTGTTTACCTGGAAGTGGGGTGGGATGAAGAGCACCAGGCTGCTTAAGGACAGGTGAACTGGCCCAGGTCACAGAGGGAGTAGATCAAAGCTCCCATGTCAATCAGTAGTGAGATCAGGTACATAAATGGCTGCTATTATTTCCAGCCTGAGCAAGAAAGGGAGATCCAGCTCTCCCTTCACTCTGCCTGCCCCTTCTAAAGTATTATCACTGCCACTCATAATAAAATAATAACAATAATTATTATTGTTATAATTCCTTATATTTATTTAACGCTTATAAGGTTTCAAGTGGTCTCACATCTATAACAACCCTATGACATAAAGCAGAAATTATTTTTTCCATTTTGTAGACAGGGAAACCAGGGCTCAAAAATATTAAGTGACATTGTCCACTATAATAAAAGAAGGTAGTAGTAACCCCTGAGGATTACATCTGTAAAACACTTTGCAAACCTTAAAACTTTGTGTAAATGATAGATATTATTAGCTATTATGGGGCTCAGAAATCCAGTCCTACCCTAGTGAGTTTCCATTATTTCCCTATCTCCTTCAGAATGTCCAGTTCTGCCCTCTGAGGGCAGCGACTATCTTTCACTTCATCTTTATATCCCCTCCGGACCTAGCACAGAGCCTGGAACACAGTACATGATTGTTGGATTGAACTAATTAGATTGGTCTCTAACATAAATAGCATGATCAATCTGATAGTCACTCACTGAAATTATTATCACTCCATGACCAGACTGAAAGGATGCACTCTGTATCCATATTGTTATCTTCAGGAGGCAATTTTACACTTTGAAACTTTTTTTGTTAATTGAATGGATGTGGCCAGCTTGATCAGCATGATATCATGTTCAGAAGAAATGGAAGTGAAATTCGGGTGACTGATGACCTTTTCATAAGGTAGCTCTTGCTCAGTGGGCTGCCGGTCATTGAAGGTATAATCCTGCCAGATGATTTTGAGGCACCTAGAAGAAAAGGGAGAGGCTGAAGAGAAGGAACACATGACTGCTAGTGCACTTCATTGATAGACACATTTATATAATACACGTACACATGCACGCACATATACGTGCAAAAATGTATCAATCATTATCTTTCCCATGAATTCTATCCTTTATCCTTCCATTTACCTCAATTCACTTATCTGCCCTCAGCATCACCTGAAATGGGAGCTGAATCCCTCTACCTCTACTTTCTAGGATGAGTCAAATCAAGGACCTATCAAAGCAATATGACACTGAGAACCTTTGTCCTCATGCAGTCTGGATTCCTGTGGGAGATCAAGACATATGTTGGAAAAGTCTATCTGAACGGGAGCATGAAGGCAATGTTTGACCACTCAAATTTATAGAATGTTAAGAGATCGATGAAGCCTTAGAGATCCTCCACAGAGAACCTAAAGCTCAGAATTACTAGTTTCCTTCCAGATTTAGCTCAAGCACTACTATCCCCATAAGTTTCTAGTGTCTTCTCCACCCATTACCTTACATCTGTTTCGTATTGATTTATTTATGCACATTTGTCTCCCCCAGAAGAATAGTATATATACATATGCTTATTTCCCCCAATAGAATATGAGTCCTTGAGGGCAAAGATAGTTTCATTTTTGTCTTTATACTCCCAACATTTGTTGAGTGATTAATTACTAACCCTTTAGAACCAGATTTAAATCCTAGCATTAAACTGTCTGACTTTGGGAAAGTCAGTTAATCTCTATGGGGCTCCATTTCTTCATCTTTAAAATAAGTTAGCTAGACTAAATACTGCTCTCTGCAGAGAAAAGCCCAAATAGGGTGAAGAAGAGTGACTGAAACAACTGAACAACAACAAACTATAGCTGAAGCTATGTTGGGTAGGAGTTGAGAGGCAGGGGGAGAAGGTGCAGACATTTGAACCTTGCCAAACCTGCCATTGCTGTGGTTGGTCAGGCCACAGAGCAAGTTTAATGTAATGGGAATTGTGTGTTAATCAACTCCACCTCCCAAATGTCTTCACCCTCTGGAAAGAGTCTAATGGATTTTTTGAAGGCTGTAAGTTTCTAGGTTTGCTCATGGGTTTCTGTCAGTCTTTCTCATCCTTCATTTTCATGATGAATATTAAAGGCCATCTGATAACCCATAGTCGTAGTGCTTTGAGTGCTTATGTAAGATTTGAGGAAACCTAAACACAAACATATATCTAAGCTTGATTTTGGAGATTTCCCCCAAGGAAAACTCCAGGATGGAGGCACAAGCCAAAGAGACATAATGCTTTCTTTGGATCAAGTTTCCAAAATCGAAGCCAGTCTGTTGTGAGCCCAAAGTCCTCGGGAAACTCTGAACCACAGGTGATGTCACACAAACTTTATTCTCTCTCCTCAAGCCCTAATGTTTCCCCTTATGTTTTTAGGTTTTGATCCTCTCTCATTCTCTCTCTCTCTCTCTCTCTCTCTCTCTCCATATATATATATATATATATATATATATATATATATATATATATACACACACACACACACACACACACACACACACACACACACACACACACACACATACATATGAAATTGCAGCTTTCTCACAGGTTTTCCTTCAAATTCTTCCCTCTTCACCTAAAAACCACTTGGTGCTTTCGATCTGCCTTTCCTCCTTCCTTTCCTGATCTGCCTGTACTCTTAATTACATATCTCCTCTAATCCATAGAGTTCCTCTCTCCAGTATTTGCATCTCTCTTTGCATACTGAACCTGTCTCCATCTCTATTCTTTCCCATTGCCTACGAACATAATTAAGCCATGCTTATTCTTTAAAAAAAAATTCCCTTGACCTTACTACTTCTAGTATCATCTCTCTTCTTGTTTAAATTGTCAAATTTCTTAAACAAGTAGTCTATACTCAGTATTGCCTCAACTCCCACTGAGTTTTCATTCATCCCACTGCAATCAGGTTTTGATCTTAATCTCTCCACAGAAATTCTTTCAAAGATGGTCAATGAATTTTGAAATACTAGATCCAATCCTTGGTCTTTGCCCTCTTGCAACATTTGATATTATTGATTACTTCCTCTTCATCCTGGTAATTTCTACTCAATTTCTATGACACTATACTCTTCCTAGTCATCTTCTCACCTGCCATTTCTCTGATTTCTCTTTCCTTCTTCCAGGTCTCTGCTACTGACCCCCCTTTCTCTATACTTTTTCCCTTGGTGATCCTATCTACTTCCATAGCTTCAACTATCATGCCTATGCAGATGGCTCCCAAAGATGTATCTTCAACTTTAACTTCTCTTCTAAGCCCCAGACTTGCATTTCTCTAGCTCCTATTAGAAATCTTTACCTGGCTGTTCCACCAGCATCTTAAGCTAAATATATCCAAACCTGAACTTAAAACATTTTCTTCTATATTCTTTTCTCTTCCTGACTTCCTTATTTTAGCCAACGGCACAATCATTCTGAGAGGTATCCATATTTGCAGTTTTACAGTCATATGTATTTGACTCCTTATTCTCTTTCATTCAATCAATTTATAAGTCTTATTTACTCTATTATTTTTACATTCTCTCTGGGCATTGCCCATGGCCACCTCTTATTTAGCATCCATGATCACCACAATTGCCACTATACACCTCAGACCCTCATCATCTCTTACCTAAACTATTGAGTACCTTTCTACCAAATATTCTTGCTTAATGGATTTTTCTTTTAGATGATGAGAAGTGGGGGGGGGGCCAAGATTGCGGTATAAAGGCCATCTCCTGTGCTCTCCCCCAGGCCCCCTCCAAATACCTTTAAAAATGACTCTAAACAAATTCTAGAGCAGCCAAACCCACAAAAAGATGGAGTGAAACAAATTTGCAGCCCGAGACAACTTGGAAGGTCAGCAAGAAAGGTCTATTGTACCCATGTGAGAGAGGAGTACAGTCCAGCAGAGGCCACACCAGCATGGACTTAGCCCAAGCAAATGTGGAGCAGGCTTTGGGGGTGACTGAATCACTGGCAGCAGTGGCAGTTTCCAGACTTCTCAGCCCACAGACATGAAAAACAGCTTAGAACGTCAGCAGGAAAAGTCTGTCTCACCTGGGTGAGAGTAGAGCACAGTCCAATGCAGGCCACGCCAGTATTGCCCCAGCTCCAACAAATCAGGAGCAGGCCTTGGGAGTGACTGAATCAGCATTGGCAGTGGCTACTTCCAGAGTTCTCAGCCCACACATGGTAACGGGTTCAAACAACTGGTCAGAAAGAGATTGCAGGGGTCTCTTTGCTAGCACTGAGGCAGGACCCTATTGCTTTGCCCATACTCAGATCCACATTGTAGTCCTTGGGGGGCAGTCCTGGTGGGCAGTCCCAGGGCAAAGAGAAACACTAGCATAGCAGAGCTTGTGGCCACAGTGGAGGGGGAACCCTACCCACAGTTCCAGGGCAGGAAAGAGTGCTTGTGGTCACTCACAGACCAGAAAATGGGCCAGGAGAGTAGTAAACACCTCTTCTTAGATCATAGCACCTTGGAAGTACTGAAAACTTACAGGTCCTTGGAAGTATCTCTGAAAACAGCTGCACAAAACCCCAGAAGCTTGGGACAGTATGCCCTCCACCCTGGAAGCATAGCCCCACTTTAACAAAAGAGTTAAAATTCAAGTAATAGGCTAGGAACATGAGAAACAACAGGAAAAACTCTGACTGTAGAAAGTTACTATGGTGATATTTTGATATTCCAAGGAATATCAACATATACTCAGAAGAAGATGACAAAGTCAAAGTTCCTATATCCAAAGCCTCCAAAAATATATGAATTGGTCTTAGGCCATGGAAAAGCTCAAAAAGGATTCTAAAATCAAGTAAGAGAGGTAGAGGAAAAATTGGGAAGAGAAATGAGATTGAAGCAAGAAAATAATGAAAAACAAGTCAACAGCTTGGAAAAGGAGACACAAAAAATATACTGAAGAAAATAACACCTTAAAAAACAGACTAGGCCAAATGGTAAAAGAGGTCCAAAAAGTCAATGAGGAGAAGAATGCCTTAAAAAACAGAACTGGCCAGATGGAAAAGGAGGTCCAAAAGCTCATTTGAAGAAAATAATTCCTTAAAAATTAGAATGTAGCAAATGGAAGCTAATTACTTTATGAGAAATTGAGAAACAATAAAACAAAACCAAGAGAATGAAAAAATAGAAGACAATGTGAAATATCTCATCAGAAAAACAACTGACCTGTAAAAATAGATCCAGGAGAGATAATTTTAGAATTACTGGACTACCTGAAAGTCATAATCAAAGAAGAGCCTAAACATCATTTTTCAAGAAATTATCAAGGAAAACTGCCTTGATATTCTAGAACCAGAGCGTAAAATAGAAATTGAAAGAATCCACTAATCATCTCCTGAAAGAGACCCCAAAATGAAAACTTCCAGGAATATTATAGCAAATTCCAGAATTCTCAGGTCAAGGAAAAAATATTACCAGAAAAGCAAAAAAACAATTCAAGTATCATAAGGCCACGGTTGGGATAACACAAGATTTAGCTGTTTCTACATTAAAGTATCGGCGGGCTTGTAATATGATATTTCAGAGGGTAAAGGAGCTAGGATTACAACCAAGAATCACCTATACAGCAGAACTTGAGCATAAACCTTCAGGAGAAAAAGTGGATATTCAATGAGATAGAGGATTTTCAAACATTCTTGATGAAAAGACCAGGACTGAATAAAAAAAATTGACTTTCAGATGCAAGACTCAAGAGAAGCATAAAAAGGTAAACAGGAAAGGAAAATTGTGAGGGACTTAACAAGGTTAAACTGTTCATATTCCTACATGGGAGGGAACATGATATTTGTAACTCATAAGACCTTTCTCATTATTAGGGTAGTTAGAAGGAATGTGTGTGTGTATGTATATAAATATATATATATATATATATATATATATATATATATATAGAGAGAGAGAGAGAGAGAGAGACACAGAGAGAGAGAGAGAGACAGAGAGACAGAGAGAGACAGAGACAGACAGAGAGAGACAGAGACAGAGAGACAGAGACAAAGGGCACCATGAGGTGTAAGTTGAATATGAAAAGATGATGCCTAAAAAATAAAATTAAGGGGTCAGAAAGGAATGTACTGTGAGAAAGAGAAAGGGAGAAGTACAATGGAGTAAATTATCTCACATAAAAGAGGCAAGAAAAAAGCTTTTGCAGTAGAAGAGAAGAGGGGGAAGGTGAGGGAGACTGAGTGAACCTTACTCTCATCAGAATTGGCTCAAAGAGAGAATAACATACTCAATTGGGCATAGATATCTATCTTATCCTATAGGAAAGTAGGAGGGGAAGAAGATAAGAGAAAGGGTGGAGGTGACAGAACGGAGGGCAGGTTGGGGGAGGGGATAGTCAGAAGCAAAACACTTTTGAGGAGGGACAAGGTGAAAGGAGAGAGAGAATAGAATAAACAGAGAGGACAGGATAGAGGGAAATACAGTTAGCAATAGGAACTGTGAAAAAAAAATTTTGAAGCAAGTTTCTCTGACAAAGGCCTTATTTCTCAAAGATATAGAGAAATGACTCAAATTTATAAAAATAAGAGCCATTCCACAATTGATAAATGATCAAAAGATATGATCAGTTTTCAGAAGACGTAATCAAAGCTAACTATATATAGCCATATGAAAAAAATACTCTCACTATTGATTGGAGAATTGCAAATTAGAACAATTCTGAGGTACTACCTCAAACCTATTAGGTGGGCTAATAGGACAGAAAAGGTGAATGACAAATGTTGTAGGGGATGTGGGAAAAATGAGACATTAATGCACTGTTGGTAGAGTCAGGTGTGAATTGATTCAATCATTCTCTAGAGCAATTTGGAACTATCCCCAAAGGGCTATAAAATCATGCAAGTCCTCTGACCTAGCAATACCACTGCAAGGTCTGTATCCCAAAAGAGATTTAAAAAAAAAAAAGGGAAAAAGACCTATATATACAAAAATATTTATAGCAGCTTTTTTTTCCCTGGGGGCAAAGAGTTAGAAGTTGAGGGGATGCTCATCAGTTGGGGGATGGCTGAACAAATTGTGATTATAATGGAATACTATTGTGCCATAGGCTGATGCAAAGTGAAATGTATTGTGTACAAAGGTATAACAACATTGTAAGATGATCAGCTGTGAATGACTTGGCTATTCTCAGAAATGCAACAATCCAGGACAACTCTGAAGGACTTCTGGTGTGAAATGCTATCCATCCCCAGAGAAAGAACTGTTGGTGTCTGAGTATAGAGTAAAGCATACTTTTTTACTTTCTTTTCCTTGAGTTGTTTTTTTATCTATGTTTTCTTTCACAACATGACTATTATGGAAATGTTTTGCATGACTACACATGTATAGCCTATATTGAGTTGCTTCTCAATGAGGCAAGATGGGGACGAGGGAAGGAGAAAATTTAGAACTCAAGGTTTTAAAAATGAATGTTAAAGATTGTTTTTGCATGTAACTGGGGGAAAATAAAATACTAAATAAAAAATTTAAATAAAATAACATGTTAAGAAGCATCTATTTATAATCATCAGCAAGCATTATTTGTAATGGGGATAAGCTAGAAGCCTTCCTAATAAGATCAGGAGTGAAGCTAGGATGCCCATTACTACTACTATTATTCAATATTGTACTAGAAATTCTAGCAATAAGAGAAGAAAGAGAAATTGGAGGAATCAGAATGGGCAATGAGGAAATAAAACTAACTCTTCTTGCAGATGACATTATGGTATGCTTGGAAAATCCTAGAGATTCAACTAAAAATTAGTTGAAACAATTAATAATTTTAGTAGAATAGCAGGATATAAAATAAACTTCACACAAATCACCAGCGTTTCTATATATCACCAACAAATCCCTGCAAGAAGAAAGAGTAAGAAATACTTCATTTAAAATAACCAGACTATACAAAATACCTAGGAGTACACCTGACAAACCAAACCCAGGAACTATATGAATATAATTATAAAATAATTTTTATACAAATAAGTCAGATTTAAATAATTAGAGAAATATTCCTTATTCATGGGTGTGCTGAACCAATGGAATAAAAATGACAATTCTACCTAAAGTAATCTACTTATTCAGTGCCATTCCAATTAAACTACCCCAAAATTACTTTATTGAGCTAGCAAAAAATAATAATAAAACTCATTTGGAAAAACAAAAGGTCAAGAATATCAAAGAAATTAATGAAAAATTTAAAGGAAGGAGGCCTAGCAGTATCAGATCTTATAGTATATGGCAATAATCATCAAAAACTATTTGACAATGGCTAAGAAATAGAAGGGTTGCTCTTTGGAATAACATAAGTATACAATACACAGTAGTAAATGCCTATAGTAACCTTATGTTTAATAAATATAAAGATACAAGTTCTGGGGATAAGAATTCACTGTTTGGTAAAAATTGTTAGGAAAAATGGAAAGCAGTCTGGCAGAAACTACATATAGACCAATATCTTGGTCTTTTTCAACCAAGATAAGGTTGAAATAGATACGTGACCTAGACATAAAGGGAGATGTCATACATAAATTAGAGAAGCATGGAGCATATTACCTATCAGATATATGGATAAGAGAAGAATTTATGAATAAATAAAAGATAGAATTGTGGGATAAAGAAGGGATAATTTTGATTACATTAAATTAAAAAAAGTTTTGTGCAAATAATACCAAAGTAACCAAGTTTAGAAGAAAAACAGAAAATTGGGAGGGAAAATTTATAGCCAGTTTCTCAAACAAAGGCCTCATATCTCAAATATATAGAGAACTGATTCAAATTTATAAGAATATAAATCATTCTTCAACTGACATATGGTCAAAGGATACAAACATTTCTTTTTGAAAAGGAAATCAAAACTATGATTCCATAGATTCTATAGATTCCATAGCATGAAAAATGCTCTATATCACTATTGATTAGAGAAATGCAAATTAAAATAATTCTGAGGTACCATCTTACACCTATCAGATTGGCTAAAATGATAAAAGGGAAATGACTAATGTTGGAGGCGATGTGGAAAAATGGAACGCTAACACATTGTTGGTGGAATTATGAACTGATCCAATCATTTTGGAGATCAATTTGGAATTATGCCCAAAGAGTTATAAAACTATGCATGCCCTTTGACCCAGCAATACCACTATTATATCTGTTTCCCAAGGTGATCAGGGAAAAAGGAAAAGAACACATACGTTCTAAAATATGTATAGCAGCTCTTTTTGTGGTGGCAAAGAATTGGAAATTGAGGGGATGCCCATCAGTTGGGGAATAGCTGGATAAGTTGTCATACATGATTGTGATGGAATACTACTATGCTATAAAGAATGGTGAGCAAGTTGGTTTTAGAAAAACATGAAAAGATTTCCATGAAATAATGCAGAGTGAAACAAGCAAAACTAGAAGAACATTGTATATAGTTACAACAATATTATTGGAAGACTAACTGAATGGTTAAGCTGTTCTGAATAATATCATCATTCAAATTAACTATGAAGGACTTAAGAAGAAAAATGCTATCCACCTTCAGAGAAAGGACTGATATATGTAAATATGTATTGTATGGTTCCACATACATTTCTATATCAATTGTCTTTTTCTAATGCAAGGTGGGGAGGGAGGGAGAAACCTGGGACTTAAAATGTAACAAAAAATACATAAAAATGTAAAAACAAAATAAAATTAATAATTCAATAAAAAGATATTCTTCCCTACTGGCTTTCCAACTCCAATCTATCTTACACACTACTTCCCAATGTGTGGGGCTGGTGGCGTCATCCCACTGCTCAAAAACTTTCAACACTGTCTACTAATCTTCCAAATAATTACCTTAGCTTGATATTTAAGAGATTTCATAATCTGGCTACAACTGTACTATTTCGTTTCTATCTCATACTCTTCCCTCACTTGCTCGGTGCTCTAGTCAAATCAGATATTTGCCATCCTTGAATGTGGACTGTATTTTCTTGCTTCTATACCTTGGATTCACTATTCTGTAATCTGCTATCCTTTTCTCTCTCTTCTCTACCTATTGAAACCCTCCTACCTATTCTTTAAGATTTAGATCAAGTGGCTCAGTGAAATCTTCCCAAGCACCCCACTCCACCCCATGCAGGAAGCAACCTCCCTCTCCCACAATCAGCACTTTGTCTGGACTTCCTTGAACTTAGTTCCCTTTCTTCCTGTATCACAAATGCTTGCGCGTAAGTCTCTTCCCCTTTTTTTAGATTGCAAACTCTTTGAGGGCAGGGTCTGACTCTTATCATGTCTCTAATCCTAGCCCAAAATATTGAAGAGTCACAAGGTTTCAGAAATTAACCTTCCTACCAGATTCCCTTATCTGAAAAGATTCCTGAGTCTTTTCAGTTCTGCGGAGTGTAGGGAAATTCCAGACAGATTTTTTTTTTAATTTTCCTCCGGAATTCCTAGAGAAGAATGGCCCTGAGATATTCTCACTCACAGTAAGTAGCAATGAGCAGCTGTCACTACCCACTGTGGATGAATAAGAGTCCCAGTGCAAGGTTGGAAGCTGGATCTCAGGTAGACTAGGTAAGGTAACTCCATCTCACCCGTGTCATCATGGAACATTGGTAGGGCAACTAGAGAGCCAGAAAGAGACAGAGTGTTCAGGAGATGGAATACAACTGATTAAATCTATGATGGTAATGGAGGTTGAAGAGTAACATGTACTATCACATCCAGAAACAATTAAATTCTTTCTTCTTGCTTTAATCTTTCCTATTTCTATTACTGTCAGAGGTAGCATGAGCAAACTCTTTGTCTTTTCAATCGTTGTCTGAGTGTTCAGAGCTCTTTTGCATAGATTTAGAGCTAGGAGCAACCTGAGAGGTCATTTAACACAATGCCTTCATTTTACAAACAAGGAAATCAAGACCCAGAAATGTCTTTCCCCTTACTGCTTTATTCCCCAATAGAATCATCATCACACTCTCAGGCTAGTTATCTTAAGTTTAATAAAAACAACTTTACTGCAGGCATGAGGATACAGAGGTATGAGGACAGGCAATGAAGTGCATATGAATAGATAACATATATAATTTATATATATATATATTTATGTAAATACTCATAATAAATTTTATATTTATATTATATATATATATATATATATATATATATATATATATATATATATATATATATATATATATATATATATATATATAAAATTTAGGAGATGAGACAGTAGAGTGAAGTGGGGAGAACAATGGCCTGGGAGTGAAGAGATATTGGGTTCTAGTCTGTGCAATGGAATCTGTGCAAATAGCATCTTACTGTGCTGTCCTGGGCAAGTCTTTTTCCCTCTCAGTTTTCTCATGTATAATAATAAAATGAAGAGGTTGAACTAGTGGAAACTTAGAGTCCATGATAGCTCCAAATCACATATAAATGACCACTGGAGATTCCTTCCAACCCAAGGACTGTACTGTCCATCTATTCAAAATGATGGGACTCTATAAATAAAAATAATTTGATTTCATTTCTGGATTCCTCCACCCAAAGTATTCCTGACCTATATTTTCTCCATGACTCAAGACCCCCATTTCTCCTCTTTGTTATTTTGTTATGATTTTACTGTTGGGGCTAGGTTCAACTCCTGCTAAGCCCCACCAGCTAAATGGAAGAAAGCAACAGCTCTTGCCTGGTCATCAGATCCTATTTCTCACCAAGACTGAGTTATATGTTCTTGGCTAAATAATCCTGCTTATTAGAGAAGTGGGACCTTCTTGATCCAGGGCTTTTACCACATTCACTCATCTTTTGCGTTGATTGCTCTCCTACTTCTCATCCATCTGTCTCTTCAGGTCATGTTAACTCTTTTGAAAGAGCTAGCATCATACAGCCCCTGCTTTTCCATTACTAATCATTCCTTAACATTAAACAATAATAGTCTTTAACATATATATATATATATATATATATATATATATATGCATACATACACATATACCTACAAATATATAGTCATTTAATATAGCTTATACTCCAAATAATCCTCAAATCAATACATCTTGCCCATATCTCTTCCCTCAAGCCGGCAATTATGTTCTCTTTCTATCTTTTCTTCTTTTCACTGTGTATGCTGAGAACATTGTCAAATTCCAATTGGAATTGGACTTTTCGTAGACTTATAGAATAGACCTCTGAGGTCATCAAGTCCAACCCTCACCCAAATAAATTCTTTTGATGTCCATAGTAGAATTCCTGGAGATGCTTTTCTGAATATTTCTTCTCTTCTCTAAGTCTCTCCCTCCTTCACTGTCTTTCTTTGAGGTCAGGGGAAAATCTTTGGGATCTGACTATACTGAAGCTTATTTTATACACAGAAACTGTGAAATTGCAAATTGATACTCCCCTTTATTTTGTACCATTTTAAGGCTTAGTTGATTTATTATGTATTAGTGATCAACCCACCTTGTTTTGGTTGGCCCCTTCTTTATATAAGTTTGAGACCCTTAATCCTATACCTTTAGTTGCCTATTATGAAATTTGAAAATTGATATTCCAAAATTATTGGTTGAGAATTACATCTAATCAATGTATCTAATCAGAACCAATATTTGTGAATCAAATTCAGACTTGATTGTATAGGCCCTACTAGTAAAATTTGGAAGAGTTTAACTTCCCTATTCCAATGGGCTAAAGTCCAACCACAAAAATTCTAATCTGTGAGCTTTTGCTGACATGGAGAGGTGAGTCAATCTTGTAAATAAGATGTTTCCCTACCCTGAGACTTTCCAGAGGATGTTAGTAATAGGTTGGTGATCCACCTGGAGAGGAATTGATATAAGCAGCTACCAACCAATTGAAATACATCTGCATAGTCAATCCTATAAAAGAGTTGTAAATCCTATAAAAGAGCTGCTTTGCTTGTCAATTTTATCCTTGACTACTAAGGGGTCTTGGATCCAATTTATTAACATTTGCTGGCCATGCTAATAAATTTACCATGCTTAAAACCTTGTGCCTCAGTTTCTCATTGTCACAGATTTTTTATCATGACAAAGATGCTTGGTTATTGCTTGTACCACATTTATTCTTTTTTCTATTAAACTTGCCAATACTCCTTCTGCTCTACCCACACCCATAAGATGCCCATGGTCACTCACCAGCCACTGACAGGAGATTGAAGAAGAGAATATACATCATGATGATATTGATATCCTTCCCCAGTGAGACTGGGGAATTGAGTTCTCACACTGGCTTGGTCCCCTACATGGAGGTTCTGGGAAACAGGAAAGGAGAAGGATCTGTTGGATTCCTAAGAGATTTTAGAACTAGATCTTTTAGGCTCAGGCTCTGGTTCCAGAAGGGACATTTATCAGTGCCTCTTCCAGGGTCATCAGAGGAGAGGAAACCTAAGATGTAAGAGTCTACTTGACCTTTCTGCCTTGCAGGGCTAAAGATCTCCCCAGCCTGGAAGAAGCCTACCCTGATGAAGAAATGGACTCCAGAATTCAGTTTTCCTTTCTTTTTCCAGGGAAAGAGACTCCCCCAGATGAGGGTAGGTGGGTTTCCCTGAGTCCCTAGAAAGATAGTATCTCTATGACCTCCTCTGCGGTCTTTGGTCTTCTCCACAATCAGTTACCCTCCCTCTCTGTTTCATCCTAACCCACCATGTACACACCCACCATGTTCTTTATGTGAAACAGACCCTCCCAAATATGTGAAATTCACCCTGCCTGCCTGTGTGACATTGAACTCTCCTTTCTGTGTGCAACATTAAGACAGTGACCCCTCACCTCTTTGTGTGACACCAAGATACTGAGACCTCCCCACTGAGTGACCATGCATGTCCAAGAGCACCAGTCATGAGGAAGGTGAAGTTGCTCTCCTTTACAACTAGAGGGCAGAAGTAGGAGTAATGTGTGGAAGTCACAAAGATGCAATTGTATGCTCAATGTAATTTTTAAAAAACTTGTTAACAATTAGAGCTATCCAAAAATGCATTGGGCTTCCTGGGCAGGTTCCCCCTCCCTCAAGTCAAAGAAAAGCTGGATGACCCCTCACCAGGTATTTTGCAGAGAACATTCCCATATAGCACGGATGGGACCAGATGTTCTTACAACTCAGATTCTAGGATTCTTCCCTAGAACTGTTTTCCAAGGCGCACATTTTCAATAAGAATCTGTTATATGTGATAAGTCATGAATTTCTTTAGGTTCAAAGTCCATCATGATGACCAATCTAGGGCATTCCATCAAGGGCCCAAAGATTGAAGAAAAAGGAACAGGACCAATACATATAAAATACTTATAGCAGCTTTGCTTGTTTGTTTATTTTATTGTGGCAAAGAAATGGAAACTAAAGGGATTCCCAATCAGTTGATGAAGAGCTAAAAAAATTATGGTGTGTGAATGTAATGGAATATTATTATTTCTCTGTAAGTAATAATAAAGGAAGTGATTTCAGACAAACTAATTCAAAGATTTGAATGAACTCCTACAAAGTGAAGTGTACAGAACCAAGAAAAGAATTTAGAAAATAACAATTACTGTTTAAAAAAACACAGCAACTAAGGAAGACTTAAAAACTCTACTCAATTCTATGACAAAGCAGGATTCTAGAGTACCAATGATGAACATGCTACCTACCTTCTGACAGGGAGGTGACAAACTCAAGGTGTACAATGAGACATGTTTTTGAACATGGCCAATATGGGAATTTGTTTTGATTGACTATGCACATACTTGATACAAGGATTTGGTTTTTCTTTCACTGGGATTTGGAGTGGGGTTTTAGAAAGGGGAAAGGGGCTAGTAATAAGGAAAAGAAATTAAGGAAAGAGAGTCAGCTAAGCATTTTTAAACATAGAATAGAAGGTATATCAATAGCATGTTGAATTTACTTGTGGCCCTAAGCAATCTTTTTCTATGCTGCTTTGTGTGTAGAAATGATCATCTTATTTGGTGTTAAGTTCAGGATTTTTAAAATAATAAAAAATAAATTTATCCTCCCCCCCAAAAAAAACCTAAGGTATTGCAATAAGTGTACTTTCTAGTTCACCGAGTCTGTTGACTCTATGATTCTATGTTTCAAAGCTTCATTGTGAAGCCTCAGGAGTGTCTGACTCAAAGCCATAATTATTTCCTCAATATATTTATTTTCTAAAGTAGCAATATTTCTTTTATTTTTTCCATCTATTGCTTTTATCTGCTACCCCACTAATCAGCTCTGCTTTATCTATTTTCATGTAGAAGCATAATAAATAATCTTTTTAATTCAACTAGAAATTAAAAGATAAAAATTGGAGCTGTCAATAAGGTTTGTGTCCTGTTCATGTAGATTATATGTATGGCCATAAAGGTCTGGCCTCAGACACTTAGTAGCTGTGTGACCTTGGGCAAGTCACTTAACCCTGTTTGCCTCAGTTTCTTCATCTGTAAAATGAGCTGGAGAAGGAACTGGCAAAACACTCCTGTATCCTTGTCAAGAAAACCCCAAATGGGGTCACCAACAGTGGGACACAACTAAAACAACCAAACAACAAAGTCTCCCAAGAAATATTGCTAGGGAAAATAATTTTTAGGTTTCAGCCACTGTCCTGATTAATATTCCTTATCAAAAGAGTGCCTTAAGCTATATCTGAAGGCTTGACTCCCTTCCTGCCAAATACCAGTTCCACAAAAACCATCAACATAATGAATTGCACACAATCCCATTTATCTGAGCAGATGGCAAACAGAAATCAGAGAAGCTACACAGGTTAGAATATACCAGACAACATATAGAGCGTATGAGCTCCTCCCACTGGTAGCAAGATATTTCAGTTCAACTGACAGAGTTCTAATGCAAAGAGGAAATTACCAAAGTCTACTAGTGGGGCAAACTGAAAATAAGGAAATGCTCAAGGGAGTAAGTGCTCTACATACTGGCTTCTTCCAGAGTGTTTAAAATTTTTTTTAAATTCTTTCCAATTACACATAAAAACAATTTTTAACATTCATTTTTTAAAATTTTGAGTTGTAAATTGTCTCCTTCGTTCCCTCCCCTTCCCCTCAACGAGAAGGCAAGCAATTTGATATAGGTAGAGTATTTCTCTCCCTCCAAGGGCCTTCTGCTGAAGAAATCCTGGAACTTCAGGTAACCACATGTATCCTTTCTCAAACTCTGCATCTGGCAGAAGGAAACTCTCCTCTCTAAGCTTTCAACTCCACCCTTCAAATAGGCAGCAGAGCTTCAAGTAATCATTCCCTCCACTGAAGAAGGAAATCTTTTGCAAATAAATGTCTGGGCTTCAGCCTTGGATTGCAAAAACTGAGCCAAAAAGATATAATGACCTCAAAGATTAATACATAGGATCAAATCCAGTCCATTGAAGCTCAAAACCTTTGTGGGACCACGGACCAAAGTTTACATTTAAATATCTGTACCTATCAAAGAATGCTAAAATAAAAGGTATAGCCTTTTTAAATGTTTTGCTGGTCTATGTAAACTATAATACATATAGCATCCACCTGATTCCAATAATCTTGAAAGGAAACGAAGTTAATCTGCTATTACCTAATTTTGACAAAACATCCTGGCTCTTTGGAATATAGAAGGGAATTAGCAATTATTAAGCATCTACTATCCTCTGTCAGGAAAGTGCTAAGTGCTAAGGGTATATTCACAACAACCTTGGGAGAAAGATAATGTTATGATCCCCACTTTACAGTTGAGGAAACTGAGGCAGGCAGAGGTTAAGCGACTTGCTCAGAGTCACAACTAGAAAGTGTATGAGGCTGGATTTGAACTCAGGTCTTCCTGACTCCAGACCCAGTGTCCAATCTACTGGGCCACCTCACTTCCTCTAGACGTCACTGTCTCATTTTCTAGATGTTAAATAACACTTTAATAGAATATTCCATAAACAGTGTGATTATGTCAGCAGAAACAGCAAGGAAAGAGTGGCTTGACATCAATGATGAAGGTTTTTAAAATGGGGATGGCTAGGAGATCAATAAAATAGCTGACCATGAGTTTAAGACTATTCAGCCAACAGCTGAGGAAACAGAATAGGAATTAGACTAAACTTACTGATGCCAAACCAAATTTATAAAAAATAAAAACTGACATGTTTAGAGCCCTTAAAGGATTATTTTAAGCCAGATAACAGCCTTGTGAGGTATTATTATCACCATTTTACTGATAAGCAACTAAAGCTCGGAAAAATTAAGTGACCTGCCCTGTGGTTTAATTTAAGGCCCAGGTCTTTTCCATATTGAATGCATTGACCTATAAGAAGGAAGCATAAATGGCCACGACTTTGCCTAAACACCTTGCCAAAGGAGTGATGAGGTTCTGAGGTCACACAGAGGGGAGGAGTCAGTGTTATCCAGAAGTAAGGGATGTTACTCGGTGGGGAGGGTTGAGACATTAGCGGGAAGAGCAGGGATGAGGGAAGATGGCAACACAGGGAGATCCACGAGCTCTTTTTTGAGGACTTCTATTTTGGGGGGAAGGAGGAAAAAACTTCTCTCTGGCATTCATCTCCCTGATCAGAAAAGTTTTTCCGACCAGAAACATATCTCTCTGTTTCCGCTCCTCTGCCAGCGCTGCTAACATCACAGATAGATGCCCTAATTAGAATCAGCGTCATAAGTCTATAAAGAGTTACAGCAACCCGGGGCTTTTCCAGCCTCATTGTCCACCCATCTCCCTCCTGCTGCTGGAAGTCCCTAAGCACGCAGTTAAGTTCAAGCCTGCTAGCACACTCTTTTGGTCTCATCAGTGGGACACGATCTGGTTCTCACTATGTGGTACCTCCTTTATATCCATCTTCTGACAGTGCCTGGTGAGCGCCTTGCTGGGTTCCCGTATGTACCTTTCAGGAGGGATAAGGGTTAATTGGGCAGCTAAACAGCACAGGGGATAGAATGCTGGATTCGTTGGAATCAGGAGTATTTAGTTTGAATCTTGCCTCAGACGCCGAGTTGAACAACCCTGGGCAAATCACATTCTCTCTGAGCCACAATGTCTTCATTTATAAAATGAAAGTAATAATAACACCTCCTTCACAGAACCATTGTGAGGATCAAATGAGTATCTGATACATGCAGAATTTTTGCAAACCTGAAAGTGATATATAAAAATGAGCTCCTTGAGGGCAAGAGCTGTCTTTGTATCCTCAGATGTTTAGTACAGTGCCTGGCACATAGTAGGTGCTTATTAAGTATTTATTGACTGAGCAACTGGATATTATTATTATTATTATTATTTGGGGTAAGGGTAGTAGGTGGAGAGGCTAGGCCAGGGAAAAATAAAGAATTAAGAAATGAATTTCTCTAACTCTAAGGAGAGTGCAAAGAGCTCAGAAAAGGGGCATAATGGTGAGAAGGGTCCAGGAACAGGAGGAAAGTCAAAAGAGTATGGAATATGCTGGGGTTTTGAATGTCTATAACCATTATGAATAATTCTTTTCCAGCTGGGTTCTGAAATGTGTTTCTCCTTCTAGTTGTTCAGCTATCCTATACTGATAATACCACAGTGCCTTTTCCCATCTATCTGAGATCCAACTCCCAGTCCTGTGTGGGGACCCTCATTCACCTACAGTGGATGTTGACTGCTGCTCACTGCTTCTTACCGTGAGTCATTGGAACTCGAGACCAACCAGGTCTTGGGAGACACATACTTTGACTGGGTTCTCTCCAAATCTGAGCAACATCAAAGAGGCTTTCCGGGTTTGCTAAAGAGGAACAAAGAAAAAAATTACGGGTTTGGAGACAGAGGCCATTTCTGAGTTACTGTAACTTCTTAGAGGGTGGTAAAAGTGAAAAGATGGGGGCATGAGTGGATTTGTTTGTGGGATACATCATCGCTAGAAAATTCATTAGAAGGGGTGGGAAAGAAGTGGGACATCTCCCGTAGAGATGTCCCAGGAAGGATAATTTTCTCCTGCGATATTCAGGACTCAGAACTCCCAGAGGATGCAATTGTATAGAGGGGGCAGGGACATTGAGATGGATGCTCAAGAAGGCTCTAAATATAAGGTAATGAATGGAATATTGGGGTACTAGGGGTCAAGGATCCCCCATTACCTGTCTCTTCTTCCAGATACCAGCAAATGATCATAAGCAAGGATATCCAGTCCAGCTAAGAGGAACCTGAGGTGGTACCCTAGGAGAAAGTCAACCCTCACAAAAAAATTCACAGTCATCTCATCTGAACATGACATTGTATTGATCAAACTGGCTTTCTCCATCACGCTCCCAAGCTCTTTCATATATCTACCCCTTGATGGTCACAAGGCAGATGGCCTCTGCACTGCCTCCAGTTGGGACTAGAACATGAGCAAGCCTTGTAAGTCGTGGTGTGGTGGTAATAACATTTATATAGCACTTTACATATATTATCTCATTTCATCCTCACAAGACTCCTATAAGCTAGGTGACTCTTCATGACCCCATTTGGGGTTTTCTTGGCAAAGATACTGGAGTGGTTTGCCATTTCCTTTTCCAGTTCATTTTACAGATAAGGAAACCAAAGCAAACAGAATTAAATGACTTGCCCAGGGTCACACAGCTAGTAAGTATCTGAGGTCAGATTTGAACTCAGGAAGATGAGTCTACATGACTCCAGGCTCAGCACTCTATCTCACTGCATTACCTAAGTACTATTATTAGTTCTAATTTTTCAGATGAAGAAACTAAGGCAAACTAGATTAAGTGACTTGCCCAGGGTCACACAGCTAGTAAGTGTCTGAGGCCAGGTTTGAACTCAAGAAGATGAGTTTTCCTGACACTAGGCCTGGCGCTTTATCCACTGTGCCACCTAGCTGTCCTCTAGGTGATATTATTATCTTCATTTTTCAGATGAGGCAAAAAAGAGGTTGGTTTGCCCAGGGTCACACGACTAATAAGCAGATAAGGTAGGATTTGAACTCAGGTCTTCCTGACTCCAAGTAAGGCACTCCATTACAATATGCCTAATAGGCCAGGCAGTGAATGACAAGGCCACATACCTTGGCCCTGTTTCCCCACCCTATTAGCTCTACCCTTTTCTATCTCAACATATGTGCACATACACACACACACACACACACACACACACCATATGTAGATATATATATATGTATACATATATATATATGTATATATATGTATACATATATATATATATATGTGGGGGGATGTATGTATATATGGAGACAGAGAGAGAGAGAGAGAGAGAGAGGAGAGAGAGAGAGAGAGAGAGAGAGAGAGAGAAAGAGACTCAGTTTGCTTTTCCATGAGGTTATTGTTTCCCCACTCTAGGCTCCCTTCTGTCCTGGTTTTTCTCCCCAAAGTACAGTACTAGAAAAAAAGCTAAGGAGACATAAAGTAGCAAAGAGGAGGAATAGAATAATTGAAGGAGCAAATAAATACGCCTTCTTTTGTGCTCAGAAGACATTCTCCAGAATGTGAAACATTCTCCTGTTCCTCTTGGGCAGTGTCTCTATATCTTCCCCGGGAAGACCATGAAGAATGTATTCTGCATGGGACTGCAGGAAATCCATCATTCCCCTGTCAAATAATTCTCTCCTACCAGATCTCATTTGCAACTCTTCTGTCCCTGACCAGACGTGCAATGCTATTCTCATGTCTAATTCTGCCTCTGTCTCCCCCTCTTCATATGTTTGTCCTGTTGATTCAGCCCCTGACTTCTAACTGTAATCCTAACATTCCTCATCCCCCTCCCCACCCCAAATGCTAAATAAAGAGTTTGGGTATACTAAGTAGGTAGGAGAAAAGAATTATCTATAGATGTGTGAGGCTCAGAGATTCACCCAAATCTCTCTGCTGATTCTGAAATATTCCTGGCCATGGATGGAAAGAAATATAGCAAAAATAAGACAGAAAATTGGTCTGAGCAAAAATTGAAAGAATTACTTACTGTGCAGATTCAATTTAGGTTCGTATCTCAAGATATAATGACATGTACTCAGTATAATCTTAACAAATAATCACATTTGTTTTATAGTGATTAATAATGATTAAGGCAAAACACACACATAAAGATAAGAAAAACATTCAACATAATAAGTAATAATCAAAATAAAGAAAAGGGGGAATAAGAAAAGAAAGGATACACATTCACTGACCAGGCGAGCTCAAATACCTAATAGACTGAGAGACTGGAGAACAGCCAAGAAGTCTGGTCAGGGAGGCCAACAGAGCGACATCCCACTCCAACTCAACAGAGGTCATGCACGCGATCCGCTTCTGAACACAACAGAGATTCAGCGTCCCTATCTCTGACATCAAAGTCTCCAAAAATCCCTTTCCAAATGACCCCTTTTATATCTGTGTAAACCAGAGAAAGACAATCTTGATATTTTGTTTTGTGTATGTATCTTTGGTGAGCTCATGTCCAGGCCCACACACATCTCTAACAAAAGTTAGGCCTTGACCAGAGCCCCAAATACCTGTTTGTTGTGTAAGTCTGCAAGGAGTGATCAGTTCCTTGGACAGTGACACACCTTTCTCAAGAATAATGTTACTTGACATAAATTGCTTTCCCAGGTAACATAGCTTGGTTTGTTACTTAATGTTTCATCTCCATGGTCACCTCCAGCCATGCATGATCACTCCCATCTATCTTTATATCGGGTCATGAGGCAGTTACACTGTTAGGTCATGAGATGGTTACACAGGGGGCTAGGGAGGATCTATCCTCCTCAGTTTCCCTTACAGCAAGGCAGAAAACTAGCCAGGGAAGGAGCTCCCTAGATGCCTGATGCCCTGAGCACCCCTACTGAGGGGGGAGGGAGACAAAGCATGCCTACCATCTGGGGAACAGTTGGAGATGAGTGGAGGGGGTGGCACAGTGGAGCATAAGGAAGTTCTGACTCTGCTCTCTTCTTAGCAGGAAATCTCTGCAGCTGCAGCCATCCTTGGAAGGAAGCTCATTGAGATCCTATCTTGGGTTTGTGGGTATGTCCTGAATGGTGATGTGGGCATCTATACCAAGATTTACTACTGTGCCCCTTGGATCCAAGATGTTATCTATGAAAATTGAAGCCCATTGCCTCTGATCTCTGACCACCAGTCACAAACTGGCTCCCTCACCCTGTGGCATGCTGGACTTCTTCCCAACCCTGTCTTGGACCTCAGAACGGGAACCCAATAGAGACACCTCTGACTACATCTATATATGTGACTCTTCTTTACTTGGCTCTGTTCTTCTCTCTGTACATTCCCTTAAATAAGAGACTCATACCACAGGCCAATGGTTATGGTAGATGCCCTGGCACCTTCACCCTGGGGCAATTAAAAAAAATAAAAACAAATACATAGAAGAAGTTTCTTCTCACTGCCATTTCAAGATGAGGTGTTCCCTCCTATGACTATGACCTCAGGGAAGTAGCCTTCTTTAACTCACAAAATCACAGAATGTCAGGGTGAGAAAGACATCCATATGAGACAGTACCAAGAACACTGGATCTAGAGAATTTTTGTTGTTAAGTGATTCACCGAGAGTCACACAGCTAGTGTCTGAGGCTGGATTTGAACTCATGAAGATGAGTCTTCTTGACTTCAGGCCCAGTGCTTCATCCACTATGCCACCTAGCTGCCTAATCTGGAGTCACAGAACATGAGCTCAGATCTTAACTTTGATGCTTACTACATAAGCGATCTTGGACAAATCACCATAATCTGCCCTAGGTTTTGATTTATTCATCTGTAAAATGGGAGAGTTGGACTATGTACCACTGAGGTCCCTTCCAGTTCTACCTAGCTCTATGACTATGTGACCAGTGAAGAGCAGCCCAGTACTTACTAAAGCAGCCCATGCCATTTGTGGCTAACTGCTTGTTTTTCCTGACAGCAAACCTAAGTCTCTGCAGCTGCCACTGGCTGCTCCTAGTTCTGCCCTTTGGGGTCACACAGAAGTTATTAGATATTGTCTTAGGTTAGTTTATCGAATGCTTACAGACAGCGATAATGTGTGTCCATCCCCAGCCCACCCCTGCCTCCAAGTTTTGTTTTCTCCAAGCCAAACATCTCCAGCTCCTTCAGTTAATCATCATATGACATGAACAGAAGGCATCTTTCTCTTACCTTCATTTAAATAATAATCATAATTTAGCACTTTAAGGTTTGCAAAGAACTTCATAGATATTTTATCTTCATAACAATCTGGGGTGGGGGGGAGGTTAAGTGCAATTGTCCCCATTTTACAAATAAAACACGCAGAAACTAAATGACCTTGCCCCAGGGTGAACTGGGGCATTATATACATATATAAATACACACACATATATATATATACACACATATACATATACATACACATATATACATACTATATATATGCATTTTTTATATGTGTATATATATATATGGGGCGTGTGTGTCTGTGTGCGTGTGTCACAGGGCAGTAAATGTCTGAGGCTTCATTTGAACGCAGACTCCAGACCCAGAGCTCTATCCACTGCACCACCTACCTTATTGGTCTTTTCAGTGTCCTTCCTAAAATGGCATGCTGGAAAGTAAACATATACTCCAGATACGTGGTCTGACCAGGGAAGAGCACAGCTCCTTATGCCTTGATGCTGTAGACCTTGTACAAGCAATCTAAATTTGTGTTAGCTTTCTTGTGAGACATATCTCCCTACACTGAGATCACAGTCCACCTAAGACCCCAGATCTTCTTTAAACAAACTGCCATCTAACTAAGCAAGATCCCCCATCCTGAACTTGTGAAGTTAATTTTTTTAAATTGTGCTCCTGTCCACTCCCTTTATCTACCCTTCTAATAATGGTATACTCTTATTTTACATATGTAAAATAAGGTATATAATAAAGCATACTCTTCCAGAACCATATTTCAGTCATAGGTCTTACCCTACCAAATCTGAGTGATACCTTGGGGGTCAAATTCGTCTCCTTACATTAGGATCTCTAGTTTGCCTTGGTTTTTGCTCCCAGTTCCCATGAATCTCCGGTTCTCTTTAAACACATTCTTCCTGTGTTGTAGCTGCTTTTCTCTACAGTATTGGCTAGGCGAATAGATGTAGACAATTTTCTCCCTATTTAGTGTGAAGCCTTAACAGATTTTCAAGACCCTAAGTCAATATATTGGGAAGTTAGTGGATAGAGTGCTGGGCCTGGAATCAGGAAGACCTATCTTCATGAATTCAAATCTAGTCTCAGACACTTACAGCTGTGTGACCCTGGGCAAGTCACTTAATCCTGTTTTCCTGTTTCCTCATCTGTGAAATGAGCTGGAGAAGAAAATGGTAAACTACTCTAGCATCTTTGCCAAGAAAACCCCATTAGGGTCATGAAGAGTTGAACACAACTGAAACAATTGAACAACAAAGCTGATATATTATTACCATCTCTGGTTAAGTGACATAATTACAATCTATTTTCAGATACTATCCCCTAAATCCCCTAATATGCCTTTCTTATCTGAATCTCCTACCTTTAGCTGGCATCTGAGATTTAAAAAAGAAAAAGAAAAAACTCCACCATCATCCCTAAGGTTTCAGTTTCTTGCCCCTAATCTCTAGCTGTATGTTCTAGGTTTCTTCTCAAGTTATCTTTCACTTCCACATGAATCACCAGCAGTAAGGTGGTGGTTAAGTTCACAGTTCTTGGGAGAAAGTTCTCGTTAAATTCCAGATGCATGTGATGGGACATCTATGGTTAATGGCAGTTTGGGCCAGGCATTCCAAACAGGCAGTAATCATCTGAGTACCAACATTAAGCAAAGAGTAAAATAAGTCTATCAGGATGTATATGTTTATATTTCTATTTATTCACGTGTGTATATTATGCAACCACATATATGTACACATGCACAGACATGCCACATGTATGTGCATGTGTGTACTGTGTGTATTAAATAATGATGATAATAGCTAACACTTACATAGTGCTTACTATGTGTCAGGCAATATGCTAAGCACTTTACAATTGTTATCACCTTTGATCCTTACAACCACCCAGAGAGGTTGGTGTTATTATTATCCCCATCTTACAGATGAGGAAACTGAGGATAAGCGACTTGCCCAGTCATCTAGCCAGTAATGTCTGTGGCTGGATTTGAACTCAGGTCTTCCTGACTCCAGCTCCAGTGTTCTATCCACTACACTACCTGGCCGCACCATCTGTTTTGTTTTTCAGTTGTGTCTGACTTCTCCATGACTCCATGGGGGATTTTCTTGGCAAAGATACTGGAGTGGTTTATCATTTCCTTCTCCAGCTCATTTTACAGAAGAGGAACTAAGGCAAATAGGATTAAGTGACTTGCCCAGGGTCACGCAGCTAGTAGGTGTCTGAGGCCAGATTTCAATTCAAGATATGTTTTCGTAATTCTAAGCCCAGTATTCCACCCACTAGTGCCACCTAGCTGTCCTCTCTATATACAGTCCTGTTATCCACTGACAAATCAATAAATTCTTCATTTCATTCTCTTATTTCAAGACCATATCTTGAATACACACACACTGATAGACTTACTCAGTAAACTGTCCACCCATCTGCACATCATGGTCTGACAAGTGTCTTTCACTCACTTGGTGTTTCCTGTATGGATTATAAACCCTAACTCTTTTGAAAGGTAAGAAGTCTCATGGGTAGCAGGTTCTATCATCCTCTGAGACTTTATGTAATCAGTACAATGTTTTCTACAAACAAGAGCATCTGGACAACTTCATCACCTGTAGGAAGCTTCTCTTCCATTTTGAGTCCAAGCAGGATACGCACATTTATGTATATGCACATACATACATGAATGTATACCTACATCTATTCCTATGCATATGTGTGTATATGTAATGGGCAGACATACAACGCTGCAGATGGAAGACAAGCTTAGCTAGCTCCTAAAGAGAGTAGCTGGATTGCTTTGGAGAAATCGCCCAGCACTTCTTTTTTTTTTTAATTTGTGAACTTGCCTTTGTTTCATAATCCGACCCATCATAATACTTTTGACATGTATTACGGCAAGCCAGTCTTCAACATTAACTGTATTATTAATGCCAAACCTGCAAATCTCTCATTTATATGAAAATTTGGGGAAGGAGTAACATGACGTTAAAGATTTTCATACATTTCTTAAAATCCATCAAACCAGTCTCTCTTTTTTTTTTCATGACATCAGAGGTCTCACAAGTCTCTCAGAATTGACAAGTGGAATTTATAAATCTCATCTTCATCCTTGGTGGTTTTAATTAGCTTTTCTAAATGCTTCAGGCTTTTTGACAGACAGGACAGCCTTCTCCACAAAGGGGATGCCTGCATTTTGATCGGTGTAGAAAGCTGCATCACTGATACTATCAGCTGACACAAAGCGGGGAGGGGGAAGGAAGGGAAACAGCCAGGCACTGAGTGTTCACCCAACCAGCAGCATAGCTGGTCCTCAGATTCTTCCCTTCTTCCTTCTCCGTGTGGATCCTGGATGACAGATGCTTCAGGAGCCAGGCATTCAAGATGTGGTCCTGAAATAAGACAATGAAATGAAGAATTTATTGATTTGTCAGTGGATAACAGGCCTGTGTATAGAGAGGGCAGCTAGGTGGCACAGCAGATAGAACACTGGGCTTAGAATTAGGAAGACTTATCTTGAATTGAAATCTGGCCTCAGACACCTACTAGCTGTGTGACCCTGGGCAAGTCACTTAATCCTATTTGCTTTAGTTCCTCATCTGTAAAATAAGCTGGAGAAGGAAATGATAAACCAGTCTAGTATCTTTGCCAAGAAAATCCCCAATGGAGTCATGGAGAGTCAGACACAACTGAAAAACAAAATAACAGAGGTGCAGCTGGGTAGTGGATAGAACATTGGGCCTGGAGTCAGGAAGACCTGAGTTCAAATCCAGCCACAGACATTGCTAGCTGGATGACTGGGCAAGTCATTTATCCTCAGTTTCCTCATCTGTAAGATGGGGATAATAATAGCACCAACCTCTCTGGGTGGTTGTGAGGATCAAATGAGATAATTGTAAAGTGCTTAGTGTAGTGCCTGGCACATAGTAAATGCTGCATGCAGGGTGCAGCATTATTCCAGTCGTCAGCTGGTTGGGTCCTTGTTCTCTCTGCTGGGCAGATATGTGGCTACCACTCAAAGGTAGAGGCACCTGCAAAATATTTATCTTCCCAGGTGGAGAACATTCTTGGTCCGACCATTCAGGATTCTGCCTTTGAGTTTGAAATCTGCCTTGTTTCCATGACATTGGGCAAATACATTCATTTAAATGAGCCTTGCAAAACTGTGCATTAATCTGATCACCATTGCTCATGGTTTCTTTGTTCAGACATCTCCTCATTTCCTACTCAGCTGCACTCATTGTGGTTTTGAACTTCTTTAACTTCTCCAGCATGTCCCCAGTAAACTCATCATTGGGAAATAACATCAAGATCTGATCTTAAGATCTGATTGGGTTTGTTACATGTTATTATTACCTTTGACCTCTCAGATAGCCCAGTACTTTTAACAATCCCAATCTGTCACCTGAAACAAAATTCTAACACTAGTGATATTGTATAGCTAGGAATCATGGAAAACCACAGTCTCCAAAGAATCAGAATTGGCAGTGACCCAAAGGTCAATGGAAAGGTTCATGATGCTTATAAAATAAGCTATAGTATGTTACCAATGTGGTTTTATATGCAAGAAAAAGCAAAAATGAGATCATCCAGAAGAAATATGAATGAAAAAAGGGAAGTTCATAATACAGAGTAAGGAATAATAGCCTGGGTGCTACATTAGTACTCATGTGATATTAAAAGTCTCTTTGGAGGACTTAGCATGTTTCATGCTAACTCCTTCAACCTGTCCTTGTATGGCATGATCTTTGGTAAGTTCATCCTCCTAACTTCCTTCTTTTGGACACACTCCAGCTTGTCAACAGCATTGTGATGCCCAGAACTGAACACAGTACTGATGCTGTGGTCTGACAAGGATAATTTCACTCATTCTGTTCATTTGCTCTCTCAATGTCATACTAGGCTTGAAAACTGCTCCACCCTGCTGGGGTCTGCAGTGGTCATGAGACTGGACACATCTCAGGATGCTTCCCATTATATCCATGAGGATATAAAGTGAGCATCCAGAACACACTAGACCTTTCATACTGTTTATGTCACATTGACAAATAACCGTTTCAGTATCTTCAGCATTGAGTCACCATCTACCACTTCTTTTCTTTTGAAGGAGGTCTTTTCTTGTTCCTTTATATACTAATATCTTTCCCTCTCAGATTGGCTTCCATTTCCTATGCATATATCTTGTGCCTAACAGTTTCTTATAATAACATATCTTGTATATACCTTACAATTTAGATATTGTGTCTCCCATTGGAACAGATATCCCTTCAGGGCATTTTACCTTTCTGGGCATTCTCAGCACTTAGCACAGCATGACATATAGTAAGAGTTTATTTAATAAACACAAGTTGACTGACTTCCTTATCTGCTATAGGGGTTTCTTTTCTGGGTTCATTAAGTTCAAAGATCAGAATGACCACAACAATGAAAAAGGAAAGCTACAGACATAAAAAACTTAGATTAATTTAACAAATAATCTTGACTTCAAAGGACTAAAGATGAAATATAGTAGTGTAGACTACAGTTGTGAAAAGCTATATACATCATCTTAATATTATTCTGCTGGGTTTTTTTTCTTTTTTCTTTAATATTTTATTTTCCCCCTAATTACATGTAAAAACAATTTTAACATTCTTTTTTCAAATTTTGAGTTCCAGATTCTCTGTTTCTCTCCCCTTCTCCCCACATTGAGAAGGCAAGCAATTTGACATAGGTTATACATGTGTAATCAGGCAAAACACATTTCCATGTAAGTCATGCTAAGAAAGAAAACAGACTAAAAAAAACCCAATAAAAATAAAGAAAAAGTATCTTTGATCTGCATGGCTCCACCAGTTCTTTCCCTAGAGATGGACAGCACCTTTCATCATAAGTCCTTCAGAATTATCTTGGATTTTTGCATTGCTGAGAATAGCTAAGCAATTCACAGTAGATCATCATACAATGCTGCTGTTACTCTGTACAATATTCTCCTGGTTCTGCTCATTTCACTTTGTATTGGTTCATCTAAGTCTTTCCAGGTTTTTCTGAGAGCATCCTGCTAGTCATTTCTTATAGCACATGGTATTCCATCACAATCATATAGCACAACTTGTTCAGCCATTCCCCAATCAATGAATATCCCCTCAATTTCCAATTCTTTGCTACCACTAAAAGAGCTGCTATAAATATTTTTGTACATATAAGTCTTTTTTCCTTTTTTAAAAAAAAATATTTTTAGGATATAGATCTAGTATTGCTTGGTCAAAGGGTATATGCATGGTTTTACAGCCCTTTGGGTAAGGTTCCAAATTGCTCTCCAGAATGGTTGAATCAGTATACAACTTCACCAACAGTGCATTAGTGTTTTAATTTTCCCATATTCCCTCCAATATTTGTCATTTTCCTTTTCTGTCGTATTAACCAATTTGATTGGTGTGTGGTAGTGGCTCAGAGTTGTTTTAATTTGCATTTCTCCAATCAATAGTGATTTGGAACATTTTTTCATGTGACTATAGATAGCATTGATTCTTTTTCTAGAAACTACCTGTTCATATTCTTTGACCATTTATCTATTGAGGAATGGCTTTTATTTCTATAAATTTGACTCTGTTTTCTATATATTTGAAAAATGAGGTCCTTATCAGGGAAAGTTATTGTAAATTTTTTTCCCACAGTAGTGATTTCCAATTTTGTATTTCCCTCCATACTATTTTCCCTGTTCATCCTACTCTCTCTCTTTCCTTTCACCCTGTTCATTCTCAAAAGTGTTTTGCTTCTGACTTTTACCTCTCCCAATCTGCCTTCCTTTCTATCAGCCCCCTTTCCCCTTCTCTTATCCCTTTCTCCTCCTACTTTCCTGTATGGTAAGATAGATTTCTATACCCAGCTAAGCATGTATGTTATTTCCTTTTTGAGCCAATTCCAATGAGAGTAAAGTTCATACACTTCCCTCTCTCCTTTCCCCATCTTCTCTTCCACTGTAAAATCCCTTTCAGGCTTCTTTCATGTCAGATAATTTACCCTATTCTGCCTCTCCCTTTCCCCTTTTCCCAGTGCATTCTTCTTTCTCACACCTTAATTTCTTTTTTTTAGATAATCATCTCATCATATTGAATTCACACCTGTGCTTTTCTGTCTATGTATAATACTTCTAACTGCCCTAATAACAAGAAAGCTTTTAGGAGTTACAAGTATCATTTTCTTATGTAGGAACATAAACAGTTTAACCTTATTGAATCCCTTACGATTTCTCTTTCCTGTTTTTCTTTTTATATTTCTCTTGAGTCTTGTATTTGACAGTCAAATTTTGGGGCAGCTAGGTGGTGCAGTGGATAGAGCATCGGCCCTGGAGTTAGGAGGACCTGAGTTCAAATCCAGCCTCAGACACATAACACTAGCTGTGTGATTCTGGGCAAGTCATTTAACCCCAATTGCCTCACAAAAACAGAGAGAGAGAGAGAGACAAAGAGAGAGAGAGAGAGAAAGAGAGATGCAGAGAGAGTGAGGAGTAGAATAGCTAGGAAAAGGTGAGATAGTCAGAAAAGGATTATAGGAAAATTCCACTGGCTCCATGGAATTCATTCACTTGTTATAGGAATTCATTCTATCTGCTATAGGAATTCTTATGCCTCGAATCCATTTTTAAAGAAACAGAGAGGAACAGCTTGAATGATATGGGGGAAGATGAAATGACCAGGAGCCTAAAGATCTGGGTTCTAATGATGACTCTGCCATAAATTAGCTATTGCTCTTAGACAAGTCTCCTTCTTTCTGGGCCTTAGTTTCCTTATCTGTAACATAATGCAGTTAGAGTATATGATTTCTAAGGTTCCTTCTACTTCTAAATCTGTGGTCCTCAACTTCCTTCATAAAACCAAAGGTTAGATTACATAGCTTCCAAGGTTCCTTGTAGACCTAATAACATCTATGAGAAGAAATAATTAGATATATTTCAAGAAATAAATTACGAACAATCTCATAATAAAACATCTGCTATATTTTCTGGCCATGGAACCAAACTTTTGCCAAAATTTTGACAAAATAAGTCATTTTAGAATTGGAACTTAAACATCTGGACCCAATAGAATGATTGTAATCTAACAACATGTAGTCACTCCCAGTCTATGCCAGATTATGTGCACACTTCACACAGGTATGTGTGATGAATAAAGTAAAGTAAGACTAAGAATTAGATCTTCTATGCTCATAAATCTGACACATTAGCTGTAACTAGAAAGACCTATCATGGCTAGACAATAGCAACAATCTCTGAAGGCACTGACTAGAGCAGCTGGCACAATGTTGTTGTGGAAATAGTATCACATATTAATCTAAAAGAAAATAGAACCTTTAAATACTTTACAACATTTTGATGGGTGTTTTATAAGAGCTTTTATCAGGTATAGCCTGT